CTTTAGGGGGGTGAACGAGCAACATACTGTTGGGCTGTCTCACCGATCAGGATATGGGCTTAAACCATCCACCAAGGGCTGCCTCCTAGCCCTGACGATGGTGAGAAGTCCCGATGTACTAGTCTCGATTATAATAAAATTCACTTTCGATTCGAATATTTTAAATGTTGCCTTGATGTATTTTTTTTCTCGATATAAATGTGCCTTTTTATGTGTGCTTGAGATTGATCTCGATATGAATGTGTCTTATTGCGTACGCTTGGGACTAACTGTGGCTTATGGTTATTTGTTTAGACATCAAACTATTGAGGGCTGACTTGGGTGAAAGCATCCATTCAAGTGCCGTACGGTCTATTACTTGTTGAGAGAAAGCCTAGTCTGTGACACTTAGCCTTAATTACATGAAATTGATCCCAAGCCTTAAGAGGAGACCCGCTCCACTAAAACTCTTTCTTTTTCTAAAAGGTTACTACTTAGAAAACAGTCCTCAGGCTAACCAAATCATAAACCTAAAAATTTTTTGCCAAAAGAATGACGTTTACTCTTGCTATTGAATTTGTCTAGGTGTGTGCAATTGCTTTTATTAATGTTTAATTCTGAAAATTACCGGTGTCTTAGTTGTTGATGCTACTTTTCTATTATTTTTTTTCTTAGATAGGTGACGAACTGTTGCTCTTTGGGTCTTCTTCTTGTTGAATTTGATTGATGAAACTCTAGATGTGCTCGTGTGTTAGGTATTGTAAAAATTTGATGTTTTTAGAGTATGAAGCTGCTGGATTTTGCTTCTGGGAATTAGGCTCAACAAATGCTTCTTACAGCTTATTCTTATTATTGTTTCTTCTGTGATTACTAATGAAGATTAATACTTGTTTCTAGAAATTGGCTTTTAGATTTTTTAAAACATTTTTTTTGAATGCTTTCGACCCTACGGTTGGCTATATTGCACAATTGTGCTACTCTGTATATGCTTTTGAAAACTGCTTATTAATTTCTTGATGCTTCTTTCTACTCTGTTAAAAGCTTTGCCTGAAACTTCCTCTATGTTGAATGATCTTCTGCTGATTTCTTCTGTTCTTGTTATGCTTGATTCTTGTCCCTTCGTTTCTTTTATGATTTTTTTATGTGTGTGTTTGTATGACTTGTGTGGGTATGTATTTATAGGGTTTCGAATATGAGAGCTCCAATCCATAAAGGAATCCTAATTTCCTATGAATTTCAAACTTAAATCAAACTCCAACTTTACAAATCAATTCCAACAATTTCACACAAACTCAATACATTTTTTTTCATTTTTTTTATTTTTTTATTAGCAAAAATCAAAAGTAGACCCCTCGACAGATTAGAGTATCCACATATATGTTATGGATCATAAGCTAATTGACGTGATTAAAAGGAATGAAAAAAATTATTATAAAAGTAAGTTATTTTTTTACAAAAAAGAATATAGTTTAAAGATAAAAGAATTTATTTTATTAAATTTTAAATTTAAATGATTATATAAATCAGCTGAATTAAGTGTTGAATTTTTTTATTATACAAATATGTTTTGCCACTTGAATTATTATAAAACTAGATTATAACCTGTTCAATATACTAAATAATTTTATTTATTTAATATATATATATACAAATTAATTTTTTAATTATATTCAAATCTGTAAAACTCGTAACACATATAAAATTTATATATATTGACTTGTCATTAAAAAATAATCTTTATGAAAATAGAAAAAAAATTATATCTTTTCTTTGGATATTTTTGTTTACAATAATATTTATACACCCGTAAAATTATATCAAATAAAAATGAATTATGTTTTTTTAAAAAATAAAATATATATTATTGAATGATAAATTAAATAATAAAAGAAGTATTAACACATTTTCACTTTAGTGATCTTAACTAAATTATTATACAAAATATGCAAAATGTTAAAAAATATGTAAAAAAAATAAATTAAAAAATTATTTTTCATAAGAATGAAACTGTAATAATAATAAAATATATCTTTAAAAAATTTATAAACAAAAAAATGCAATAGTAATATAATATACCTTAAAAAAAGTTACTGAAAAAAATAAAAAATGATATATAATACATTACATTTGTAGTCTTAAATTTGTATAAGAATTCTTTAGTGATAATTAAAATTAAATAGATAATTTTTAAATTAATTTTTTAAAATTTAAAATGGATATAATAAATGATAAAGATAATATTAAATTTTTTGCATTTATTTGAAATATAAATTTGATAATCAGAGTTCAAATAGATATAATCATTTTAATAATCTTATTATTTAAAGATTTAAAATGAAATTTTTTTGAATTTTTAAAATCTTACATAAAATTGCCTGAATTTTTAATATTTTACGTAAATTTTGTAAATAGATAATTTTTTAAATCAAGGTAAAAAATTGTTGAAAGATTTGGATAAACTTAATTTTTGTAATTTTTAAACATATTTGAAAATTTTTTATAATTAAATAATTTTTTAAATAAGATTATTTGATAAACAGTTAAAATTATTTATTAAAAAAAAAAATCCATATTTCATATTTTTAATTTTAGAATATATATTTTTAAATTGATTTGATTTTCAATTATAATTTGAATAATTTTGATATTTGAATAAATTTAAAATTATCTAATTTGTAATTAAAAGAAATTATCTTATTTTTTAAAAAAATTATCTTATGTGTTATTTAATAGAGTTGTCCACATAGACACTTATGTAGCAAACTTGTTTGTGTATGTTGTTATATGATATATATATATATATATATATATATATATTAGATTTCAAATTATTATTTGAATATTGCAACTTTATTTTTTGTAGGTGCTTGAAAATTCCATATACCCAAATTTAATAGGTGATTAAATATATGGAACTTCAAGGAAAAATAAATCTTTTTGCTTTTTTTTTTTTTGCTTTGCTTTTTCTTATGGAGTGAAAAGAGTAACGTCTGGTTAAGAACACGAGAGAAAATTGGATAAGGCAAAGATTACAAGTGTAACCAAATCCAGCGGTCAGCTAGAAAAAACTGAAATTGCAATGGCAAGCAAATCAACACACGGTTCAAAAGGTTAAAAGATAATGGAGTTAATTTTTGCAAAGTTGCTGGAAAATGTTGTTGTTGAGCAAAAGCTGGCTAAGCCGTTATGATATTTTGAGTTTCAGAATTTAAGGAAACCTCCAAGCTGAAGGTTGCCGCCATTGCCGACCAAAAACTTGAAACCCCAATTTCCTAAAGAAACCAAATTCGGTGTTGCACCAAAGGACAACAAAGATTGGGTCGTGTGTGAAAATGTGAGAAATAAATTGGAATTTGGTGTTTATATACGTAAGAAAATGGCGTTTTCAGAGCTTTCAGTTACCTAGGAATTTTCCCATTTCCATAATTTCGTTTCATCTTTGTTTATTTCTTTAGGGATTACTTGTTTCCAGGAGAGTTGGACTTCCAGGAAACTAAAACAAATGAAATAGAGATGATGAGATCATGGTATTTATTGCATGCTTTAGTTGCCTCATCTCAAATGGTTTCAAAAAAATGATAATAATAAATTACGAATTGTTGAGTAGCTGTTCACCATACAATTTTATTGAAATTCCGATTTTTTTTTTCTTTTCTGATACAAGAGTATATAAATAAAACTAGAGTTTAAACAAACCGGAATAAAGTAATACAAACGAAAATTGTTAACAGTTGTGTAGTCTTATAGTAAAATGTTATATTATTAGTTTTAATGATTAAAATTTAATTTTTATAAAATTTTAAATTTGCAAAAAAAAAAAATATATTGATAATTTTCAAGGAAAGATCATCAAAATATGTAAACTATCAAATTCGTCCCTTCATCTTAAATCAACATTTTGTCACTATTACTAGTTCTCCTTCTCCAATGCCATCTCTAATCTTTTTTTCCCTTTCTTCCCGACAAGTGGCAATACTTTGCTTTCATGTAAAAAAATAAATTTAAGTTGTTTGATAAATGGGTGATTAACATATAATAGCTAAAATATTTTATGGACTTTTCATCCAACAATGGGGACTATAAACATGTGGGGTGAATTTAAACTTTTTAATACCACTTAATTAGAATTCCATTTTTTTTTCACGTAAGGCCATGTGTTGGTACGTGAAAATTTAGAAAGAAATAGAATATTTAAAAAAAATTGAGAGAAAACAAAATAAAGCAAAAGACGATGAAATTCTTAATCTTGTTTGGTTATACAAGGAAAATAGAAGAAAATAATATGTAGGTTTATGGACACAAAATGGCGTAGATAAATAACAAAAGATCCCAGAGAAGCTAAATTTTGATTCACTGCTTTCAAAGTTTTGATTGAATCTCAGCTTGTTGATTCAAATATCTAGTCAAAGCTTTGTCCCAGTAAAAAAAAAAAGAAAAAAATTCCTAATAGTGCACTAAGCTCAGAATTAAAAGTGTAATCAAACCGATACAGTAAAAAACTCAAGCTCAAATTTAACTCTTAATTTGTAACTCAATAATCGATTCAAACTCGATCGAATTTTATTTTTTTATTTTAAACTCGATTTATAATAAAAATCGAACTACTCAAACTCACTCAATTAATATGTAAAAAAAAATTCAATTCTTATACTCAATTAAAATTTAATTTTTATACTCGAACTCGAATTCGATATATTTTATTAATTAAAATAATAAAAAATATTTAAATATAAAAAATCGATTACGTTCATAAATTACTCAAATCGAATATAAAAATACTCAAATTCGATTCGATCGATAAATCGAGCTCAAATTTAACTCGATAATAATAGAATCGAATTCAAATTTTATTCGAATTAAACTCAAATAACTTACGCATACTAATATATCATTTACACCTCATGAAAAAAAAAAAAAAATCAATGGGGACAAAATTGAAGGGTTCCACCTTATCCAATGGGCCGAAACCAAGAAGCTAATACACAGACTAAAACCGAAAAGAACCCAAAAAGAGCAATCAATAAACAAATAAAAGCATGATACGCCTTAGGAATTGTTCTCATGTGAAGAACACACGATTATCAGCCAATATTAGGAAAAATGTGAAAGTCAGAATAAACTAAAATTTCCCTTCGGGTAGACAGAAAAATCAGAGAAACAATGAATGACTTCTTAACTGCAAGCTAAACCACGTCTCATACAAATAATCTTCGGTCAGACTACATAGGCTGGACTCTCCACCCAACCAAGCACAATGACGATGAAGACGCCCATGTCTTGACGGTACATGAATTTGGCATACGCTAGGTACGAGTTCTGCTGCTTTCTGCGTTTCTAATTGAAGAAAAATAAGGATGCGCCTGCATGAAAATAAAATCGTCCAATTAAGAAATTTCCTTGGCAGGGCACTTTAAAAGATAACACCATTACTAGGTGTCTTCAGATGCACACACACAGACAATTTATCTTGAAGTTGTGTCCAGCAAATACAGGGGGTAACTCTTCAATAGGAAGTGAGCTTACCATTGCTTCTTTTGCAGTTGGCCTTTCTTGATGATCATATCTTAGCAACTTATCAAGGAAGTCGACGGCCTTACAATAAAAACAAAAGTATACAGTAAATATGAAATACGATACACGGAGAACTTTCCGAATTGTATAAGATATTGCTAGTTATACTACCTCAGGTACTGCCAGATGTTGATTCTCAACATTAATGAACTTTGTCCAAGGTTTGCGACTATGCCTATGTGTCAAGTAAAGGAATATACTTGTCAACTGGACATAACAGCAGTTTCTGCATCATCAGACTAAGATTTTTTATACCAACCTCCCAACAAGGGCCGCAAGATGTGGATCCAATTCTATGCGGTACTTGTTCAGACAAGCATTTAATTCATCTGTCCCAAGAACCTAATGCAGCAAAAGAGAAAGAAACTATTTAAGAACCATAGAGGGTATTTTTATATCCAAATAAATTCAATTTTAATCATTCAATGACAGAACTCCCTCACTCTCCCTAGACCTCAGAGATGTATAACGGAAGCATGGTATTTCTCAAAAAATAGCACCAATATTACAATAATGAATGGGAAGAAAACATCTACAAAAGCCCAACAAAATAATGTCACGACTAGGTGAGGATCTACAAAATGGAATACAGTTCAGCCAGTGCAGTGTTACTTAAAAGATCCATGAGTTCGCATACCTTGGCTATCTTGACCAGTTGATCATAATTATCATGCCCATAGAAGAATGGCTCCTTTCTGAATATCTGTATAGCATAACCCTCAAATATAAGCATCTCAAGAGAGATAGAGCATCGAATACCTTGGCGGTATATCAAATTTCAATCCTTCTCAGCTATCTGCCACCCATGGATGAATATGCAAGCAGATCAAGGTACGCTCATCTAATGGTAATATTCTACCCATAAAAAGTTAGGACACAAATATTTGAACATATTCAAAGGGTCCGGCCAGAAACAGAGTCCATTTGCCTGATTGCCAATGATCATGTGCTGAGGGTGGCTTTTGAGCTTTAGACATCATGACGATCAGGCTTTCCAAATGACATGTTTAGGTCTACTTGCATAACACCACATACATACACAAGGAGAATTTGATATATGAAGTGCCAGGGTAAGGACTATGAAAGCCTACCTCTGAAGAAGTGATCTAAAGCCTACAAGGTAAAATAATCTAAAGGTAGTACTCACCATTCCAGCAAACATACAACCAAGGCTCCACAGGTCTAAAGAATAATCATAGTCTTGCAAATCGACAAGAAGCTCAGGACCTTTAAAATATCTGCAAACCAGAAATGAAGAGACAAAGGAAAAAAAGTAACACGTCAATTAATGGAGGGTAAAATTTTGATACCAAAAAACCTTAATTCTGAAAAGCACAAGTTGATAGATTGTAGTAATGAGAATTGTGACTTGTGGGAGACATGCAAACAAAAGGATGTGACATCCACCAAAAGCTCCTCTTCTAACATGTAATAGAACTAAAATATTGTCAGAATTAAATTAAGTAACAGGAAGATATATAAAAAACAATGCACTGCACTGTCTTAAGAGAAAATTCCTATACAACCTTTCTCTCTCTCTCTCTCTCCTTTAACCTTTTAATTTCCCATCATTCTAACTCTTCAATTCCCTATCTTTCTTCTTCTAACTTCCTTTATTTTTAAAATTTTCAGTGTTACATTGTATTAGCATAGAATTACATTTTTTTCCCCTCAAACAAGTGCAAGTTGACCTAAGGAATGCATGTCTTGGTGATTGCTTCTAGCCTCCATCCCCTCCACTATTCAACTCTAATTTTTAAAGTTTCAAGTAGTTAAGGCTACTATAACAAGCACTAAACTTCGCCCGTTTCTATTATTCTTAACCTGCATCATATCTAATGTATACTACCAATTGAATTTAAACAGCACTTTGAATTATCGAGTGAAAAAGCTTTTACTCTTCAATTTAAACTAACTGTAGGAAGAAAAATTTACAATAAATAATTTATGGCAATGCACTAGTTAACGAAATTTATGTAAATCAACTTCCATTGCAGTCTCCGGAAGTCAGCTATCCAATTCAAAATACTATGACATATAAGAAGGTACATCCGTACATTTGATAATGCTATATTTAAGACAGAAAAGTAGTTTGGTGCAATCACAAGGATGTAAAATAGAACAGATCAATAGAAAGGAAAAGAAAAAGAAATATAGCCACTTGAACAATTGAGAACTGTGTAGACAAGATGCCAGAAGGGAAACAAACCTTGAAGCAACACGAACATTGTATTCTTTCTCTGGATGATAAAACTCTGCAAGGCCCCAATCAATAAGACGAAGTTTCTTCTGCTCATGATCAATCATTACATTATGTGGCTTCACATCTCGATGCATGATACCTTGTGAGTGGCAGTATTCCAATGCCTAAAAATAAAGATTCACGATTCTTAAATGATTGAACCATTTTATTCATCCGAGGAAAACAGAACCAAGAATTAAAATTCACAAGTGAAATCTAGAGATACTGAAATTTTTGGAATCCATGGCAAATAAACAAGCTAAAAAATCAGCTAAATTTCAAAATGTTGCAATTACACCACTAAAAGGCTCTGCATACAATGAATTCATACCATAAAATAGCAAATGTCAAAACTGACTATGACAAGTAGCTTATGCAATATTTCAATCATGACAAGCAGAATAGCATCTAACAAAGAATGAATGAATCTTAAATTTTAGACATCAATTCAGAAAGGAAATAGTTTAGGCCTTAAAATAATAATATGACAGCATCCCTGACATTGCAGATGTATATTCATAATTATTCATGAACACAATGAATGCATAATAAAAAACACAACCAGGTCATCCAATTGCATTTTCTTACTTCCAAAATATGGCACATATGCTCATATAAGATCTTTCAATCCAAAACAGAGAGGATTAAAGCAAACCAAGTAGGTATATTCTCAGACACTAAGAGTGTTTTCAAACTTGGGTATATAACTCAGACATACTTCAACTTTCATCACAGAAGCCAATAATAATCTGTTTTCAGTCACCAAAATGGTATTCAACAAATTGCAAACACATCTAGGTACATTCTAAGTATTTCTTAAAAGTTAGAGCCAAAGATTACCCCAAGTCAATGTTATTGACAAAGCTAATAATCCAACTCCACACGCATGTATTATACAAGGTATTAATGAGGCCTATAATTTCCACAACATTTACACCAGTCTTAAATACCCGTCTTGATTTACACAAGTAAAGCAACATTTGATGACCTGGAAAAGAAAAATTGCTACATACATATCTAGTTTAAAGTGCCAAAAAAAAGAAAATACACTATTCTTTCTTCGACCAGGAAGCTTGGTTTCAAAACCAAAGGAAACCATCTCTCATTCCCCACCATGCCCCTAATCTAAGTAGTAATCACCTAGTTTTGCATTCAAACCTTCATTGCAGCAAGAGCTTTGAGACAAATGGAAACAACCTTTTAGGCCTATGAATATGCATGTCAATATGTCATGACAATTTAAATTTCAATGTCAATAAGCATATATGAACAAGTAAAGCCATAAGCAAACCATTTACTTGCCTTCAGAAGTTCATAGATATAATATCGAATATCATAATCAGACAGAGTCGGATAAAGCACTTTAAAATCCGTATTATTCACATATTCAAATATAAGACTTGGAGTCTTCGATTGCTGATCCCTAACTATATCCAGCAACTTCACAATATTCGGCCCTCCACAAAGATTCTGCAGTATTTTAATCTCCCTCTTAATCTGCATTCAAGACAGTCATTTTTTTCAAACCAAGTTAAAGTTTACACAAACACAAAGAATACAATCAAGTGGAAGTATTAAAATGCCACTGAGACCAAACCTTCTTCTTCTTGACCGGTTTGAGAATCTTGATAATACATTTCTCATTATCAGTACAATGAACCCCCTCGAAAACCTCACTGTACTTCCCTCTCCCAACTTTCCTTACCACCTCGTAATCATCCTGTTCCCTGCTAAAACAGCATTCAAATCAATCAATTAACCAACTTTCTACGATCTTTCACGCAATAGGTTAAGTTTAACCCAATTTTCAAGCCAATATCAAATAAATTAAAATAGAAAACCCTGAGATTCAAATTCACAAGCACCAAACAGCAGTAAATAACTAAATTCAAAGCTATTAAAACAAAACAGAATACGGGTACGAATGCGTATAAAACATAGGATTCGTAGATAGAGGGAGAATACGGAGAATGATACCCCCATTGGACAGTGAGGGACTCGTACTCCCAATATTCTTTAGGACGAATAACGTTGATATCGTCGTAAACCCTAGACTTAGAAGGAGCGCCAGGGCGCCTAATAGATTTTCCTATCTTTTGAGCCAGGGTTTCGGCTTCTTTTAGCTCCTTTAACCAAAAGCCTTTTTTCTGTTGTTGTTGTTGTTGTTGAGATAAGGGAGAGGAAAAGGTTTTTGAGGCGATTCCACGGAGGAAGGAAAGGGGAGATAAGGATGAGGAAGGCAAAGGGAAGAAGAGGAGAGAGAGTTGGAGACGGTGGCGTTGGCGGTGGCGGCGAAGAGAGATTGTTGTGAAATTAGAGGGCCTTATGGCCATTTACAGCTTGGCTCCTCACAAGAAAGAAGGGGAGGTTTCTAGCCGCTGCCCGCTATCAAAAAACTTTTTTTTCCTTTTCAACTTTTTTTTTTCAAAAAAAAAAAAAACCGGCGGAGAGCACAATGAAACGCTGCGTTTAATTGACCATTGTCAATTACTATGCTTACGTTGGTTCTCAAAGTCTGGACCCTGGACTATTGATTTTGGATGGACCGGTCGACCTATTAAAGCCCAACCCATTAGCGAATCGGTTGAGTTTACAAATCAAATTACTATTTTTACTACTAATTAATTATATAAATATTTTTGCCTATTATCCTATGGATCAAGTAACATATTATTAGAATTGAAATTTAAAATTTACAAAAGAATTTATGTTTTAATTAGATATGTAATAAGAAAAAAAAGAATTTAAGAAAAATTAAAAAATTTATAAAATTGTACTAATATTTTTAGACAAATCATCCCAAATGAGACGCAATTAGAATAAATTTGAAACTTTATTTCAAAAGTCTTGGATTGGAATTCCAAGGCGCCCTTTTTATATTTTTCTAATTTAATGGTGTACAACAAAGTCAAAGGAAAGGAATTGATGTAATTACTATTGGGTTGGCTTGTCTAGTTACATTGATTTGTTTCCAACATTTATGATGAGACCCAATCCAAGTCGGCCAATGTCCGGAGTTTGAACATTAAAAACCCTAACTTCCTTTTTCAGGTGCCAACCATCCTATTGTCTGCAAATTGGTCCAACTTTTGTGGAAAAGGATCCTCCTTTCCCACCCTGTCGGCCAACCTTGTTTCTAACACAAAAAAGAAAAAAAAAATTGACAAAACATAACTGTTCCCAAACTCATCAGGCAAAATGGGTCAGCTCGTGGTTCAAGCCAAACCCCTTTGTCACTTGTCAGAGACCAAGATATGGTTAAAGCCAACCACAGGAAAAGAAACGAACAAAAGCGGGAAACTTCGAATTAAGGAAAGGAAAAGAAATTTGTTAGCAAAACCTGGTAACCTGACCCAACCTCCAAAAACTGCCCAATATATAAAGATAATATCTTTTTTTCATAATCTTGGTTTGTTTAGGGTTCATTCAAACAACGAATTAATAAGAGGAAAAAAAACACAAAGAACTGTTTTTGCAAACGCAGCGGCTATGGAGGAGGTGAGAGAAAGCGCTGCTTGGGTGGCTCTTAATTCTTCTCATGTTACTATTGATTCTTCAGGTTCTTTCTCTCTCTTCCTGTTTTCTGGCCTATTGTTTTGTTAATTGAAAATGTGATTTTTTTTTTTTAAAAGAATATGTGGGTTTTTTTTTTATTTGGTGCAGGAATTGAGAAAGTAGTGGAGAAAATTAAAGGGTCGATTCCGAAAGTGGAGTGGAATTATGAAGGGATTCATTATTTTGATAATGGACCTCTCACTGTTCAGTACCTTTTTGTTTTGGATGCTTTGAATTTCTGTTTTTGGCCTGGTAAGTTTCTTTTTTTTTCTTTTATAGTTTGACTACTAGATCCCTTGCTCGGTTTTTCTTTTTTAAATGTTTGTAATGCAAAAGTATACTTCTTTTATACTGTTTGTTTGTTCTGCTTTTGTTTGTTTCTTTTAGTGGAGAGAGTTTTAAGACTTGTTTGTATTACCACGGCTTGAATTGAATTTTTTATAGATTTATTTGAGCGCTAATAATTATGAACTAATTATAGTAAGAACCAGTAATTGTAATGATTTGTCTTTGAAAAAAGTTACATTGCCCATATGCGAAAAAATGGAAGTTAAATTATATGTGCTTACGCTCTGTTCGAAATTGGTTGAGAATCTATTTTAATGGTCTTATCAGCAATCCCCATGTATAGATTTTTATGTTTCATTCTGGTTTTTTGCTTTACTACTTTCACCTTTATCTGTTGGGAAGTTTTCCTTGCAGCATAGTTTCATTTTAATAAAAAAAGAATTCTCTTCCATGATCTAAAAGGATTTGATGTTAAGGATCTGTTGGTTGCTAACCGCGTGTTACAATAATGTTCAAAAAGATATTTTTCTAATTGCTGATATGAAGTATGCAGTACTTAGGTATGCTTGTGTGTATTCATTTTATTATTGCCATTAATTAGTTGTAGTTTCTGGAACTTACATTTTTCCTCCTTCTGTATTGATTATTCTTAATAGATAAGGATCTAAATTATGATCATTTGGCCAATGGGTTAAAGGAAGCTTTGCTGAATGACAAGTCTGTATTTAATGCTGACCGCCTCCAAAAATTCACTGGTAATTCTGCATCATCTTGATCTTTCTGTCTTCTCATGTCTTTGTAGAAATGCTTGCTCTTTAGACTTACAAAAACATGCTCAGACATGTCCACTTATGTATCTGTTCACCTGTTTTCCTAATTAATAATTATTTAAGGTGAAAACTGAAACAGACTATGGTTTTGTTTATGTGTTTGGCACCATTCTAACCTGCACGCTCTTATTGGGGGAAAGCTTTCTAATTAGATAGGGAATGATGGAAGAATCTTTGTTTTCAGGTCCTCAACTGCGTGAATTGTTGAAATGGCCTAGACCACTTCCTTTAGAGGAGGAGCGAGTTCGTCTATTGCATGAGGTGAATTATAAATAAGACACCGTGTGACATTTGAGTTGGCCAATATTGTAGTAATCACTAGGGCGTTTTCTCTCATCTCATAGATATTTATCTTCAATTTTCTTAATGTTCAAATTCCATTTGTAACATGGATGGTATTGCCTAGTTTTTCCATCTCTATCTGCTTCTGCTTGCATGCACTTCTCTAGTGCAATAGAAAAATAAATTGTTTGATTTCACTAAATTTCATGGTTTAGGTTGGGTTTGAACTGGAAAGAAGCTTTGAGGGTAAGGCGTCCAAACTAGTTGAATCATGCGGAAAATCAGCTGTAAAGCTTGTTGCTCTTGTTACACAGCATTTTCCGGGTACAGTTTTCATCTAGTTTATTGTTATGTTGTCATATATAATAATAATAATAATAATAATAATAACAATAATTGTAAAAATAATATTTTAAACGCATATATTTAAGTGATAATTGATTATGCTAAAAACTCGAATTATTTACTCCATGTATGACTAAAATATTGCAGGCTTTCGAGACCACTCAGTGTACAAAGGCCACCAGGTATTCTTGTATAAAAGAGCACAGATATTTGCTTCTGACTTGTGGGGTGCATTCAAGGGCCAAGGATATGGAGAATTTAAAGACATTAGCTCAATCACTATGTTTGCTGACTATATTGTTCCAGCTGTGCTCCGGCAGCTTGGTGTGCTGAAATATAGTTCTACCCTTGCGAGCACCATTGAGGCTAACAGTGAAATAGGTGCTGGCTCTGAAGAGGAAGTTGAACTACGAGCTTGTTCTATTTATGCTGTGGAGAAAATGAGAGAGTTATTGAGTATAAAATCAGGAAAGGAGGTAGGGTAGAACTATTTTATGTATTTCTATTTCATTTGTGCGGAGCAATTTTGAATCTCACATGCATGGAGGTTTTTTCTTTTTCTCTTTATTTGTTGTCTGATTCCTAATTCTTTCCATCAAAATGTTATGTCACCCATTCCTTCAACATTTATGTATGCTAGTTCTTAATGATGGTCTATGAGTTACAGTTGTGTAAACTCCCTAACTAAAGGTTTCCATGTCCTCAAATTAATTTTGTGCCATCATTTCAATTTATTTAATTGGAGGAAATTGAATTTCAAGTTAATTTTATATTCCTTTGGCAAGGGACTCTTGGGAAGTTTGGCGTATGGTTTGATACTCATAGTGATTGGCCTCCCTGCTGCTGGCATGCTATGACTTTGGAATATGTTAGTCCAACACTTAGTTAAACTTTTCATCCGCGATTTTAGCAGAAAAAATAATCTGTCATTTGGATTGTATCAAATAGAAATAACAGACTATGATGAAGATGTTTTGACAGTGCTTATGTTAAAAGTCTTTATTCTATATTCCATTGCAGTTGAAGCAGGGGTCAACTTAGGGATCTTCATCTTATGCACTGCCTCAGTTTTTATCCTTTTTTGTCCTTCTGATAATTATGGGACTTTTTATTTTTTCTCTTTTTCCCCATTTACAGGTTCTGAGTGTGGAGTTAGATCTTTGGCTCTGGTCTGTTGGCGTCCAATGCCCATCTCTCCAACACCATCGCACGCTGTCAATATATTATTGAGTAAACTAGTCTTAGTAGCCTTCACGTCATATGCTTGTAAGCAGCAGAACAAGAAAATTTTGGCTTGGAATGTCCAAGGTAACTTCTTAGAATAAGTGTCATGTTAGTCAATGACGTCCTTTTCTGTTTAACTGGTTGCAAGGATCACAGTTTCCAAATTTAACTGCCCAGTTTATTTAAAATCAAGTGAAAGATCTATTGAAAAAAATCAGTCTATGTTTTTATTTTCTAAATGAAATAGTTCCTATAAATGCATCTGGTCACCAAGACATGACTAGCAATTTTTCCATGTGTGTGTATTTATATATTGATGGCTCTTTAACGCCACTCCTTAGATAATTGGGCTGTTTGAAAAGGGTCAAGTATCAACTATCATCTTTTGTTTTCCAATATAAATGTAATTGCATTGGCAGTGCTCTATTGCTGCCCAGAGGGAGTCTGCAGAGGTTCTTTTAACATACAACATTCTCTTAAGGATATGATGCTGGCCTGTGATTGAACCATTGTTTTCACCTTAGACAGAAGTTGGAGTTTATTCTTTCACATTACTGTTTTTCCATCCATAATCGTTTCCATGTGCTTAAAGCCCAACTAGGCATAGAAATGAAGCACAACATTGAAGTCTCCTTCTTTTAGCTCCATGGACGTGAGTTACATCAAGACAGCTGGATTCTTTGTTGTGGGAAGATAGATTTCCATCATAACTGCATCTTAACACAACTAGTTTTCTCACCAGCTGAGGCCCTACCGGCACCTTTCCAGTTTTTGGATGAATGCCCTGCACATATGCAACTGTCACTTCAAACTGTTGCCATTGGAGTAAGGTACTCTTTCATTCCACCTCTTATGATTTCACACCTATTAACCAAATATCAAATGGGCAAACAATTTAATATATGCAGAAGTCTGACAATTTTATAAGGGAGATTTTCTACTGGATTACTGTCCAACTTGAAATGGCTATTCCTAGCATAAATATAGTATATGTGAAAATAACAGGCTTGAAACTCACTTGAGCCCTAGAAATCCACTCATTTCAATTGCTCCACATAAGGAGACCACCATCACCTTCAGAAAAATGCATGTCACCAGTGTTAAGATTTGCTACTTCTACAGACACTGGAAGATAAATTGTCGAACCTCTGCTGAGGTTTTTGATGTCACAATTTCCTCCATTTTCTCTTCCTGGAATAGTCATTGCCGCCTTCTTGGCAATCTTTTCCCATTCAGCGGTCCCCATTTTGATCTACACCTGGCGATTATATTTCATGTTAGCATATAATGATATAAATACTATTAAGATGTCTCGGGGCTGGAAACTGCATCTAAATAATTATTTTGAGGTCTACTAATTCCAGTGAAATCTCAAACTCAGCAGCAGTCTGTAGGACATTAAAGTATTGATCAAGGAAGTTGATGTAAACTGACTTCCCTAAATGGCAACCTCTGGTTGATGGAAGGTTTGCCAACGGTCGTGAAAGCAAAACTTCACATAGTTTCAGGGACTTATGGCCATTTTCTTCCACTTCTTTTTCTTTCATTCATATATTCAGAAGTTCCATTGATGGTGCAGTCCCAATTATTCCAGGATGATTCAAACCTGGAAATCTCACCCATGCTATGCATATATAACTTTGTAGGCGGACTCAGCTGAATTATTTTCAACAGGCAGGCATGATAATAGAGACACAAGAGCTTAAAAGCTTATAACTAGTTTTAACATAGGGAATAGATGTATAATTCACCTGGTATAAGCAGAGAGTAGGTATAAATTCCTTCAAAATGTCAAATAGCTTTGTAGCACATGGAAAATTGTCTGTCAAAAAACCTCCATTTTTCTGTCAAACGTTGCTGTATAAACCCATTCAACCCCCGGCAGACGACCCAGGTTACATATCTCCACTGCAAGAAGATCATATTGCTCGGCCGGTATGCTATCCTTGTCGAGAACTCTTATCGGCCCACTTAGATAATGGACCTGTGTCATTTATGTAATCTTTATGTATAACAAACAAGTTTCAAAGGTGATTCTGTTCAAGTGAATTATCTGATAGAAATGATCTATTGATCTTATATTTCCCATTGCACGGACGTTTTCTCTAGCTACCTTCAACAGAAGAGTTTATGTACTTACGGTGGAGAGGTCTATATATTTTATATCCTCTGCAACAGCTGGTATGTCAGGGTGCCACTGGTTGTGGAGGGGATGTTTCTGTCGTGATGGCTTTTTCCTCAGGTCTATAGGCACCGCTACTCTAGCACCACATTGAACCATGGCCCAAACTAGAATCGCCGACTCGGTTTAGCTGAATGCAAGAAACAGTTAGGTGTGATGATGATGAGACTCATCACAGTTACCAACGCCCAGCGACCTTCATTGTTGGCAGCCATGGATGGAGATTTTTTGTTTGATAGATGGACCCTATGGACCACTTAGAATTGATTTAAGTCTTTGATTTTTGACACATTACCTTGGATGTTCTTTTAGGACAAAATAACATTGATTAGAGGGGTAATCTACAATGCTAAAACACTAAACCTATGGCTAAAGCTTGTGCTTAGGCGATGACAATATTGATGGAACATTTCTTACATCATGGAAGTAAATTTGAGTGGTGTCCGACTCTGATTTGCTTCAATACATCATACATTTGACTCAACCATCCATCCATTTTGGGATGCAAACAACTTTCAAAGCTATCCAAACCCTCTGACACGACTCCACAAATTTGGAATCTTTCAACCTTTGTTTGTTCTTAAAAGAGATACACTTCGTGGGGTGTGTGAGTACAACTTTCAATAGGTCTACTCTAGATTGTTGATTTGGTGCGAAACAAGCTAATTGTTTCGATCAGTGCATCAATCCAAATTAATGAAACATGGGAGCATTGAACTCAATTGTTTTTTGTCAACCAGCAATGGGAGAGAGTGGAGAAAAGAAAAGAATGAGATGAATATATGCAAGGAGTCGTTTCAAATTTATGATGTTGAGATATTTGTTCAGAGCAATTTCAATCATTGAATCATTTGCAGGCTTTTTTGTTTTCTTGGGGTTCAATCTTGATAACAGGTTCAAACTTCTCGGATTAATATTTCAGCAACATCATACATTTCTTTATGCACAAACCTACTAGGCATTGAAATGAAACCCAAGATTCCTGCTGTTTCTGCTTTAGGCTTCCTTGACTGAAGTTAAATTGAGGCGGCTGAGTTCTCAGTGAAGGGCAAATTTCCATCACAAGTACATTTTAGAACATCTGGTTTTCTCATTAACCGAGACCCAACTGGAACCCTTGCAGTTTTGGGACGAATATCCTGCACATTATGTTATGGTTTTAGAATCTTCAAATATGAGGATATCACATATAGTTGTATGTTAAAAATTCCACTGGCGGCTGGAGAGAAGAGATTGTGGTGGCTTAAGCTGGTATTAGAGTGGTAGCAGGAAGAAGTTACATCAGGGTACAAGTGCTAATTTTCTTGATGAATTTAGGTTGTACCTGGTCAAAAAAAAGCAGTTGGAATTGAAAGGATTGCAAGAGCATTGGGAGAATAAACTATTCCGGATATCCTTCCTACATATGGCAACAGGATGGCACAATGTACATCTCATCGTCACCATTATTTTCGCTGGAAGGCAACAAAGCTTATTCCCTTAAACACTAGCCATTTTGAGAATCTAGGCTCAACCGAATCTGTGGGGTTGGTCCCATTGGAGTATGGTACCCCTTCGTCCCATCTCTCTTGTGATATCACTTCTATCAACCAGACAAAAGATTAGGCAAACACTTGAAAATAACATGCCTGAGTTTAGTTATCAATCCTGGTGTTTAAAATGAATCTTTGAATGAATAAGATACTTATGGAATAATTTTTCTGTTAAGCTTACCTAAAACCAATTTTCGGAGAGAACCATCTCATGCATCTGGCATGCATATTCATTGCATTTGTTTCTAGTAGGACAAAAATTTTAAATTAGAATATCATTGGGTGTTGGGTAGATCATGTTTGCACTAGCCAGAATGGATGCTTTCAAGTCTTAGAAAAGACAAGTGATTAACTTCTCATGCATTTGTCTGTCAGTTGCAGTTCTTACCCAGATTACCTCAATTTATTCTACTTAATCGTCTTGTCTCATGGTAAATTTTGAAGCAGTGGATGTATCAGTTTCTTGTCTGCCACTGGATATTGTACCACTAGTTGAATTTATTCGATATCCACCATATAACTAGTAGCAGACTGTATATGATATCATATTCATAAGATCTAGACTCCTTTACTTGTTCTAATTCATTAAATTATCTTCAAATGCACTACAACCAACATAAAAGTTTGCTGGATGAGTTGTTGATAATCAAAAAAATTTATCAAAATGTATGAGAGGGAAATGTTTATTCTTTGTTAGAACCATCTTTCCGTACTTCAGCTCTAGAAAACAACTCATCTCAATTGCCCCGCAAAAGGATACTTCGGCATCACCTTGAGAAAAGGTGCATGTCACCCGTGCTTAGGTTGGCTTCTTCAACAAACCCAGGAAGGAATTTTTTATGTCACAATTTCCTCCATTTTTATTCTCTTTGGAACAGTCCTTGCAGCCTCCTTAGCTATTGTTTCTCATTCAGAGGTGCCCTTTGAAATCTACACATAGTCATCACATGTTAAAATAATTCCCTGATCAAGTCCTCATTTTCAGGAAGTTTAATCAAATTTGCACCTATACAATTTTATATGCACAGCACTAGTTTGACTTAAATCTCAAAGTTAGCAGCAAGGTGGTTGGATACTTGCATTGGAAGATTAGATAATGAGGTTGATATTAGTAGCCTCTCTAATAGGTAGCTTTTTGTCAATGGCAGATTTGCCAATGGTCACAATTCACAAATGCAAAACCTCACATGGTTTTAGGGGACTTAAGCCCATATTCTGCAACTTCTCTTTCTCCCTCATTCCAAATGTTCAGGAGTTCCATTGATGGTGCTGTTCCAATTACTCCAGGGCAGGGTGAGGCAAACATGGAAATCTCACCCCCGCTACGTGTACAAAAGTTAGTCGACTGAACTATATATTTTCAATATTTGGACACGATTATAGAAACATATGGGAAGTAACTTTAAGATATTTTTAAATGATTAATTGGGTTTAACACACGGTATGGATAGAATTTCACCTTCACCTCGTATATGCGGAAAGTAGGAAAAAGTTTCTTCCAAGTAACAAATATCTTTGGTCGCACAAGGAGCTTCATTAATCCCCGGACACCGCGGTTACATGCTTCCAGTGCCAGAAGGTCGCCCGGCTTGGCCGGTATGCCATCCGTGTCCACAACTTTTACTGGTCCACTGAGATAATGCGCCTATATGGCTATATCATTTATCAAACAGACCTTAATCAACAAGTTTCAAAGATGATCCTGTTCAGGGAAATTAGCTGACAAAAGAGTTCTAAGACACTCCCTCCAGTCTAAAATCTTTACTCTTAAAAAACAAGCCAACTTTTAGCATCTGCAACGAGGGTGTAAAGTTGCAGAGATAGTTCCTAACTCTTTCTTCATCAAGCCTATTTGCGCTACTATATAGATATTTGTTGCAGACTTGTCAGTCTAGCCAAATGAAAACCATTGGAGGAAAGAGGTTAACTCCCATAAATTACTGGCTGACAAATAGGAGTGACAGTTCTTCTAATGGTCCCCATTTGCTTTTTTGTATAGGACAAATATACATACCAAGGCAAGGATCATTTATTAATGTGAAAAATGCTGAAGGCAATAGGTTTTAGAAGTTTCTGTGGAGAAGAGAAGATGGGCTAAGCAAGCAATCAATGGTAACCAAAATTGCTAGTGAAAGACTGAAATGATTTCTTGAAAATCATTAGGCCACTATTTAAAGTGCCTTTCTATGTGCATATCAAAGGGTGGTATAGCATTATACTCACCCCAGCCCGGGTGGGAAAACACTAAAAACTACGCTAGAAACTGCTTACACCCATGTTTTAGTGACTTAAAAGGTAATTATGTGGTTGAGCCTTGATGTTTCAGAAGAAAACTTGTTGCAGCATAAACTTGTGCTCCCGACAATCTAAACTTCTCTGATTTTCATCACAGAACTACTGTTACTAAGGATTTATCAAGGATTTATGATCTTTAAACACTAGCAGTCATTTACGCAGTAGAATTTGGAAAACAAAATGAAATTTAAAATTCAACTCACGACATATGGATTACCACCATTATAATGCACCCCTTCCTTGACTTTGCAGCAGCTGGTATGTCAGGATGCCACTGGCTGTGAAGGGATATTTCTGTTCCCATGTCTTCTTCTTCTTCAGGTCTATGGAACCACCAACCTTGTACGAGATTTAGCCATGGCTCAGTCCAGAGTTCCAGACTATTGTTTAGCTGAACACAGGAAAAATTAGGTATGTCAAATAATGAGGAAACTCATGGGAGTTGCCGACGTCCTGGAACGCTCATTATCAGATGAAAGACTGGCATCGATGACTGTAGCAGCAATTGTGATAAAGTAATTTTTTTTTTTTTTTACTTAGTGGATGGACCACTAGTAATTGATTGAGCCTTGACATACAATTAAAACAAAACAACAGTAATTAATTAAAGGGATAAGCTATAACAATAACAAAATTCCAAGCCTACGACTCAAAAGCCTGGGCTCGGGGATAAACAAAAGTGAACCACTCATTGAGGAATGATGCCCTGTACTTGGTGGAACTTTTATCTTATAATGCAATTGAATTTGAGTGGTGCTTGATTTGATTCAACATCGTACATCTGACGTAACCATCCATTAGCTGAAAATTTTGTGCAAAAAAGATGCCGATATAATTAGTAGACTGCACAGATCACATTGCTTAAAAATAACCGAACAGCTGGACTTGTTTACTTTCATCATTTTTGGATGAAAACATGGCCTTCAAGTTAATCCAAATTGCCATCTTACCCAACCCCACAAATCGGAATCTTTGAGATTTGCCTGCATTTCATGATGATTTGAGCTTTTGTTTGTTCTTATAGAGAAAAACGTTTCTTTCTTCTGCTTTAATTGGCAGATGGTCCCAGCATTTCTCCCTAGCTCGGGATAGTACTACTTTCAGTAAGACTGATCTAAAATTTTTGACTCGATTGCCAATAAGCAAATGCTACCATTTCCATATTATGGGGTCATCAGTCCAAATTAAATCAAAGAAGGAGAAGATAATGGGAATTTCATTTGGCTTTGTCAAAACCAGCTGTTGTTGGCATTTTTCTGCAGATTAGCCTAATGTTTTTATCAAAAAATTTGAACATTTTACAGATTATAGTGCCAGCATTTTGGTATTACTGAAACCCAAAATGAAATTGGTTTTGGCTGGCTATCTGAAAGAGAGTAATTGTATAAACTGATGGAAACTTATCCTATTTTGTTAGGTATACCCGTACCATGATTGAGTCATCGTTCCGTAACCTAAACAATTTTTGCTATGAGACACAAATAGGATGGTAGATTCTGGCACCAGCCAAATTCCCCTACAGAGCTATAACATTTCTCTGTTACCCTTTGACAGATTCATTCTCAAGATAAGAGGAAACGTTTTAAAGTTGGGTTAATTAACCCATCCACTCAATCTTTTTCAACTTTTAAACATTTAAGCTTGATCACTACTTGGCATCTGTAGTTTACAAATCATAATAAAGGGTTGAATTCAGTTTTCAATCAAGGAAAAATCTTGAGTTAATTCCATGATATCAATGATTCTACCATTGAATTTTTAGTTTGATCCGAGAAAATAATTTATGTGTTTTATCCTCGAACGACGATTAAGCTGAAAACAAAGTATAAAGAAGAAAACTTCCTTAAGTTTTCTCCACTAAGTAGTCAGGGAAAATATAAGAAATTTACCCACATCCTATTCGATGAGCATACACACATGTCAAGCAGCCAAATGAAAAAACCAAAGTCCAGAAAGGATAAAACCAAACAATTTTTATCACCATTAGGCTGGAGGAGGAGAGTTTGCATGTTGGGTGGAGAAATTATCAATGATTTGCACAATCTCATAGGGAAGTGACTTCCATCCCATGGCTGAGGAAGTCAATTTACTCTTAATAAATCTTCTTTTTCACATCCACAACAAAAAGAAAAAAACAAATGCATTGTGCCCACCAAAATAAAAAGGAAAAACGCAGTACATCAAAGAAAGACAAGCAATTAAACTTCTTTCTTGGTCCCGAAGTTTATAATTGTACTAGTAGCAATGCAGTATTATGACCCGATAATGTTGGACATATTACATTGATACCATATAAAAATAATACAAAAAGATATAAAATGATATAGAATTAAGTTTTGATAAAAAATATATATTCATTTTTTCTTATCAATAATTACAGTAGTAAATGAAAGAGAATAATTGGCAAAAAAAAAAAATGGAGAATATTTTATAATTTGATATATATTTTCATATTTTTAAATTTTTATGTAAAAAAATTTTTGTTTATTTTTTGATAAAATGTATAAATATATTGGTAAGCTATTACATATGATATTGGTTATAAATTTCAATATCCTGTACACTCATTCATATAGTCAATATTTTTTTCACATAAAGAAGTTGATGTTTGAAAATATAATAAAAATTACACGTGTTAAATATAAATTTTAAATTTATTTATTAAATATTACTTTTTAAAATATAATTGTATAAATTAATTAAATTAAATTTTAAATTCAAATAATGGATATTTTAATAAATTTAAATCACAAACATTAATTACAATATTAATCATAAAACGTGAAATAATTTTTTTAACTATACCTTATTTATATAATTCTTTATGAAACTTTTTGATATAATTTTCTCTTGTAGTACTGTAGTCTCCCAACTGGCATAGCTATTTAAAACGCAAGGCTAAGATTATTATTTCAGAGTTGCCAGACCTCGACAGCAAAAAGAATAATGAAAAGATAAGGTTATCATATGAAGCAAGGTACATTCAGTTGGACATAATAATGATGCTTCTTCATTTTTATTCTTTTTATGTATAAAAAAAAAATTGAATTGAGATGGGTATTGGTAATTTTCTTTCAACATTCTAATCCAAGAAAATTAATTTTATTTTGGATGCATGTATTTCCTGTGATGACTTGCTATATGCATGAAGAGAAAGGAAATTTTAAATTTAAAAGGGTTTTATATATAATTAATATTAAAACTAATTATTCCTAATTAGTAATGTGCACTCATTAGTTTTGAACAGGGAGTTTATACCAATGTGAAGCAATAGTATGATTCTTTAATTAAAATAATTTTTTCATGTGACATTCAATAAATATAGAGTTCGATTTTTAATGCTTATAATTATTTTTATTATTTTAAAGTTACAATTTTTTTATATTAAAAATTATGCCAATAATTATGTGATTTGATAATAAAATATTTAATTTTTAATTATCATAATCTAATATTAAATCTTAACAACTTCAATCATAAAAAGAAAGTATATGAGATATTTGTTTAGAGTTTTTTCGTTGAAGATGCCAATTAGCATATATAATAATTATGTTGTCAATAATGGAATTAAATTATCAAATTTAAATTTTTTTATTTTTAAATTAAAATTAAAATTCCATACTCTTAACTTTGAAATTAACCCCTAATAACATTGAACTAATTATAAAAATATATTAAGGTAAACCCGTAAAAGTACCTAAGTGCCAATAAATATCACATGAAACAAAAGAAAATTAGAGCTTTACTAATTGCGTTTAATATTTATTTTTATTTTTAAATAAAGAAAATCAAATAACAAAAAGTAAGTAGTAAAGTCATCGATCAAAGGGATTTTCAATTTTAACATATATATATATATTTTTCTTATGAACATATTTGCTTTTTTAAACGACATATGGCATGTTCATAGTTGATTCTAGCGAGGGAACATTATTATTAAATCAAAATTATAACTTCTGTTAAAATTCTTTTAACTACGCCTCTAACAATTGGTGTGTTTCCTACTTTCCTTACTTTACAATTAATTAATCACAGTAAAAAATTACGTAAATATACTTTTTTTTCCCACTACCTTAACAATATAACTCCCCCACAAGTCCAAGAATATTTTCAATACATGTGCATGCCATGGCCTTGCCAGACCATCACCCCTTAAAAATCAAACCCCTTCCATTTTATTTAAATACACTTGATGCACGGGTATTTTATGTAAGTTTTTAAAAAATTATAATCAATTAATTGTTAATTAGTGGCAATCATAGATAAAAAAAAATCATAAAAAAAAATAAATCCTGAAAATGAAAGGCTATAAGTTATCAATTTCCACTCCAATTGAGATGTTAATAAAAGAAAAAAAAATAAAGGAATCCGATGGTGGAGCGACAACCATTCGCGGAAACAAGGAGCCGCTCGCGCCCAAGACTTTGGAATGTATCATATAACGTCTAAACTCCTTCGCCTTTCCCCGAACAGGACGACACGTCCCCCTATAAACGCATCCACCCACTACCAAACTAACCCAACCACCCAACCCTTGAGTTTGATTTCAACCATTTTTCCCCTTTAAAACCTCCCTAAATCTATTCCTTCCCGACCTTAATCTCTCCCTTTCTCGCGTCCTCTTGCTCTTTGCCAACCCATTTCCATTTAACCATTTTTTTTTATATTTTGTTTCTTGTAACCTAAGTAACAGTCAGCTCGGTAGGTAAGGCAGACAGAGGATGCACAGGGTTTCATGTTAAGAGAAGAAAAAGTAACTTTTGTTGTTTCTGTTGAACTATGAGTTGCAACGGTTGTCGAGTCTTACGAAAAGGATGCAGCGAGTTTTGTATTTTACGTCCTTGTTTGCAGTGGATCCAGAGTCCTGAAGCACAAGGCCACGCTACTATTTTTGTTGCCAAGTTTTTTGGTCGTTCGGGGCTCATGTCTTTCATTTCTGCTGTTCCTGAATCTCAACGTCCTGGTATTGGCGCACAACTTCCTTTTCTCAATCTTACATTTTTGGGTTTTCATTTGATAGCAAATTCTTATAAGTTTCTGTTATAAAACTTTTGGTATCAGCTTTGTTCCAATCACTGTTGTTCGAAGCTTGTGGGAGAACAGTGAATCCTGTGAACGGAGCTGTTGGACTTTTATGGACAGGAAACTGGCATACCTGCCAAGCGGCAGTTGAAACTGTCCTACGAGGAGGAACTCTACGGGCGATGCCTGAACTTATGTCTCCGACACCATCATCCGATGAAGCATCTGAAGCTACGTGTACTGACATGTGGAAGTTGCAAGAAACAGCAACAAATCTGAATTCAAACTGTCGGTTTTCCAATATAAGATCCAAAGTTTCACCTAAGCGTAATAGAGTTGAAGAATTCAAGAAAGTACAACCGTCCAATCTAGATCTTTGCTTTACTCCAAGTTTTACAGGCAAGCGAGTGCCTGATAACAGACGACCAGGGACTCCGTCAATGAACTCGGAGGAATCTGTCACGACGACATGTTTTGAAAGTGGGTTTGCAGATCAGCATGGACAAGGCAAAGGAGCAGATAAAAAATTACTCAACTTGTTTGTTTGAAAAGAAAAAATGAAGTCTTTTTTGGTGAATCTAACGCCGAAATGATCCAGCTTCGCTTTAATATTCTTCTTTTCTATCACCGCCATTCCTTTTTTGGGGTTTAGATTATTTTTGGCGTACTTCTGGTAAGGATTTTTCCAGAAATGATTTTTCAGGCGAGTTATTGTAAATTACTGGCACATGGGATTTCTCTCTTTTTTTTTTGTTTATTTGGTTAATTATAAAACTGGGAAAGAGAGAAAAATGATAGTCTGTCGGTGATCCTTAAAATCGGCCTTTTTTGCTACTACTGCATCAAAATCTTCTTCTTCTTCATCATCTTTGTGCTTAGTCATGAGTCATGAGTATGACTGTATGACATGAATATATCAAACTTATTTCCCCCTTTTTGACAAGTTTCCCAATTTATGATCTTGGATTTTTTTAAGAATTAAAATGAGTACGCCCTGCTAGATCTGTAATTAACCCGAATCATATTCCAACCAACCAATGACAGAAGATAGTATAATATAGGCAAATCAACCAGAATTAGTTGGAAAAATAATTTGAAGTTTGTATCTTCAACCAGGTCTTTCATAGCTTAAAGTAACCCAGAAGTATATATCCTGTTCCCGTCCTGTCCTTGTACTTTCAAATAAAAACTCATTAACATAAGCATATAATTCTTCAAAACAACATTAATGACCACGTAAGGTTCACAAATGTTAATTGCTAATGTTAGAAATGTAATTAGCCTAATCCATATTTTTCTTAAAGCACCACATTATTGCCCGACAATTCAAGTCACTCAATATTGAATTACTGTTTGAAATATATTTCATCATCGTGAAATCAGGATTTCAATCAAATTGTTTGATTTTTGGTCTAGGCTAATTCTAGAGGTTGGTTTCAGGCTTTGACCTATCTGATCTCTAAAGTTATCATTGATCGCAAATTTGTTGTAAGGTACAGCAAATACGTGGCTATGACTGTGTATATATGCATCCATATTCATTGGATGGAAGCAGCAAAAATGTTTCAGCAGAACCAAACAAAGGCTATGGTGTTGTACCTAAATTGTACGCATCCTGTTACATATAAGTCATCCATCCACATTCCACAGTCCACACCATTTTACTTACAATTGTTAAAAGGAGTGGCAAAAACATGCAGTCAGCCATCTAATTTTCTCCTCGTGCTTATCCACAACAAATATAAAGACAAACATTGCCAAATGAATGAGCTTGAAAAGGGCAAAGGCACGGCAATTGCAAAGGGCCAAAGAGGGAAATTTGAGAAACAATTGGGTTGGTGCCTTTGGAAGAAATGGGGACCTTTCGGCGCTACAGCGACAGCTGATGCAGGCAGTCCGCTTTTGGAGTGTCCAAATAGGCGTAGAAAATACAACTTCGACTCTTGGAAGGGGTGAAGTGAAAGAATTGGTAATAAGCAGTTTCTACGTTTTATTCACCCGATTGTAGATTTTTTTTTGGGTAAATAAAATTTAAAATATATAGATTATTCATTCTTTTGTATTAAGATAAAATATATTATATTTAATAATTTAAAATAAATAATAATAAATCATATATTCGAAATGATTTTAATAATTTATTATCAATAAAATTTAAATATAAGATTTTTTTATAAAAAATTAAATCTTAATCAATTGAGTCAAAATTTTATTAATATTATAAATTTGATTTGATAATCTTAAATATAAGATAGTGATACGATATAAAAATAATATAATTTAAATTTTTAATAAAAATTATAAATAAATTTAATAAAATTAAATATATATTTTTTATTTTTATGTCAATACAAATTTTTACACATAATTTTTATATAAAATATAACATAAATATATAAATTATTAATATTTTACATAATATAAAAAAACACAAATTATCGTATCTATCCAATTGCTTGCCATTGGTACGGTCAATGTGAACGTCGGTTTTGACTGTCATGCCTCATTTGCCTTTTATTTTTAAATTATTCTTAAACTCTTAATTTTATATTTATTTGAATGAAAAAAACATTAAACATGTAAATTATTTCAAATGTTAAATATCAATTCCAATAATTTTATTAGTTAATTATGGATTTGTGCTTTAATTTTGATTTATAATAATACTTGGTGAAATGAAAAAAAATTACTTTTCTATGTTATGATTAAGATAAAGAGTTAATTAATACAATTAAAATGGTTGAATTTGACTCAATTACAAAGCTTAAATTGTAACATAATACATGGTATTTTTTTATGAAATTTTATGTATAAATAGATATTATAATTACAAATCATATAATATTTTTATTTGAAGCTGTTAAAAATTAAACTTTGATTATTAAAATTATGAATTTATCACCTTATTAATAAATCATACAATTTTTTACACAATTATATAATCGTTAGTATTTATGATATAAAAATTATGATTGGTTAACAAAAAACTAATAAATCAAATGAACTAAAAAGTTATAAAAAAAAAATTTTAAGATGATAGAACTTTTTTATATATTTTTATTTTTTTTCCATATTGTTAATAATATCTAAATATTTTCCCCACATTGCATATTTTTTTATATTTTTTTATATCTAATATTATTATCTTTATTTTATAATTATTTTTATATCATTAAATTCCAATAGTCAAATTTTAAAAAATATTTATTTTAATAATACAATTATAGATGTCAATTTTTTACATTGATACATTTTAAAATGCATTCATTTCTAAATTTTACATTTTAAATAAACTAACTAATAACTTAATTAACTACTCTATTATTTTAATTTGTATCAAAATTTGAATTAAACATTTGTAAATGCATCATACATGTTAAGAATTTCATGTAAAAAAACACTTTGATCAAATTAAACTTGTTTGTGGATTACTTTTGTTTTAATTTCATTTATTTATTTATTTATTTATTTTGCCAAATTCTTCTATTCCCTTCTTATCTTTTGGAAGTGGTGGGTTCCACATGAATATCACATCACACCATAGATAGTTGAGAATATAAATGCTGAGGAGAGGGTCCAATAATTATTTATTTAATCCATCCCCATAAATGAGAAACAAATACTAAAACAAATCACACCAAAACAAAAAAAAACCACTAAAACAAAGGAAATTTTAAATTTTAATTAAACCCTGTAAATGAGAAATAAATACTAAAACAAATGAAAATTTGAAGGTAGTATTTGGTATTAGATAATCATTTTAAAAATTATTGTAATTTATAAATGATGATTAAATATTATATTTAATAAATATTAAGTGATTATATGTAGTGATATTTTGGATTGTTGAGAGTGATTAAATCATTGATTTAAAAAGTAATCTAATTTTCATATAAAATGATAAAAAATTTTATCATCGAAATAAAATAATATATTAAATTAATAATAATCAATATTATCAATTTAACATGTAAAGTACATGTATATTATCAAACTTATATTCATTATAAAAAATTTAAAAATAATTTCATTTTTTTCTTTTTAATATTTTTTATATAATATAATTTTTATGAATATAAAAGATTAATTTTATTTTTTTATTCAAATAATTTTACATAATTTATATCATTAAAAATTAATTTATCTATTAATAAATATATTTATTAATTTAATAATTTAATTATATTTTATTATAAAATAAATAAAATGTTATCAATATTTTATAAATTATTATCATTAAACAGTATTAAAATTGTTAACTTGTATAATTATTATAATATATATGATATTTTTATATTTTTAAATAAAATAATTTTAATTTTTTAAAAATTAATAATTATTAATCAAATAAATTTATTTTAAATTACTAATAATAAAATTATTTTGATAATAACATCATCTTAATAATTATATTATTATAATAATTTATAAAAATAACAAACGTTATTAAAAAAAAAAAAAAGTGTGGGATTTTTTAATTTTTTAAATAAGTGAGCGAATTTGGGCTTTTTTTATTTAATTTTTAATTTTTCCTCTTTTGTTTAGCTTTTGTATCTGCAATGCTGCGTCTCGCCGCATTTGGGGTGGGCCACCACCGAACCTTCTCTCTTCCTCTTCCACTTTTGAAATTTGATGTATGGGTCCCACCACTTATCTCTGCATTTTGATATTTTCTGTTTTCAGCTCTTGTTTTAAAATTAATTGTAGAGTATTCTAATCCCTGCCTTTTTTTTCATGAAACTAATCCCTGCCAATTATTTTCGTTATTATCATTAATTTATTTCACCTTACATATATAATATATAATATTAGATATATGAAAATAAAAAATATAATAATTGGAGAAAGAAATTATGCTAAAGAAATATTTAATGTCATAAGTGTGTTTAATTAAAAAAAAGATATAAATACCTTTTATTGCATTTTATTATTAGAATTTCAATTTAAATTTTAAATAAATTTAGGGTTCTTATTGAATGTCAAACGTGTGGTAAATTATTTAACGTCAAAGGTGTGTTAAATTTTTTAAAAAATTAGAAGATATAAATTATTATAATTAATAAAAAAAATGATGAAAAATTTATTATAATGATTTATTTTTTATAATAAGGCTCAAAGCTTATTTATACTGAGGTAAAATATTATAATATAAAAACTATAATAAATAGAAATAATAATTAAATCAATTCTTATAATCATCTAAATCAATATTTAATATTCTCTAAATTAATATCAAATTAATCTAAAATATTACTAGAATATTATCATTGAAATCAATTAAAATATTACCAAAATATTACTAAAATATCATTGATACTCCTGTAAACTCAACATAGTAATGTAGAGGCTAATTTAAGTTTGGAAACTTGGATAAGAAATTGATTAGGTAGATGTGATAGGGTGAAGATATATATTTTTTTATCAGCATTGATAACAAAAACAAGTTAAAGAGTTTGAGTAAACAGATGAGGACGAATAAAGTGACAATCAATTTTAATATGTTTAGTATACTCATGAAAAATATCATTGTGAACTATTTGAATAGAATTTTGGTTAGCTCAAAATATAAAAGTACTAGAATAATGAGAAACACCCATATCTGAAGTAGTCATTGTAATAATAAAAGTTCTAATGTGGCATTTATAATAGCTCGATACTCAACTTTAGTGCTAGAGTAAGACACCACAATTTATTTTTTATTTCACCAAAAAATAAAAGAAGAACTAATAAAGAAACAGTAGCTTGTAGTAGAACAACGATCAGTAGGATCTCCTACCAAATCAGCATCATAATAACAATGCAAGTCCAAAAAGGAATTAAAGGAAAAATGCAAACCATAAAAATATAGTACCCTTAACATATCATAAGATTTGAAAGATAATAGCAAAATGAGTAGATCGAGGAGCATACAGAAATTGACTAACCAAATGAACAGCATAGGTAATATCTGAATGAGAAACTATCAAGTATACAAAACTACCCACCAGAATTAAATACAAAGAAAAGTCTAAAAATGGTGTACTATCACATTGAGAAAGCTTCAAATTCTGTTCAAGTGGTGACGATACAATTTTACTATCAGTTAAACCTACTCAGGCAATAAGATCAGAAGTATATTTTGTTTGAGACAAATATAAACCAATAGAATCATTAGTGACTTTAAGGCCCAAAAAATAACTCAAAGGCCCAAGATATTTCATC